CTTGGGACTAAGCTGTTTCCTGTTCACCACACAACTGGACAAGAAGTGAGAAACACTGGACCTAACACAGGAAACCAATGGAATGACATATTACAGTACATGACCTGAGCGGTTTTCTACCAGGGATTATTTTACTGAGTGAGCACCTTTCAAAATTAACTCATGTTTCCTTACTTAAAGACAATGAAATTCCTGAATCACAGCTAACTGGGTATAAGAAAACAATCAACCTGAGATGGATTTGGGGGCTGGCTGAGCATAACCAGCGTAAGCTGAGATCAGTCTGGTCATGGCTCATGGCTTAGAGCTCAGTCCACAATGAGAATTTGGTAAATCAAAGCTGGCAGGGACATTAGAGATTATCTAGTACACCTTCTATCAAAGATGGGGTGACATGTGTACAGAACGAATTAATGAAGTAATCTCTCTCCAGATCCAGCCTGTATCAGAATGAAGTCCAATACTACCTAGTGAACTAGGGCTAATTACTTAACCACTGTGGGGCTCTATTTTTCCTTCTATGAAACAAAAATAACATTAGGATTTGAGATAAGGATTGCAAAGGCTTGATCAGCATGCCTCATGTAAGGAAGGCCCTCAATAAAGTAGCTATTATTAATATAGTGTTACTATTAATATAGGACTACATGGCAGAAGTTTCCACAACTTTAGAACTTCTGTGCCTAAATACAGGAAGAAAGTAGGTATAAAATCCTACAGTTTTGCCCGTGTTTGGTCAGTAGGTAAACTTGCAGGCCCATCCAAAATAGGCCTATGCTAAATATGGTTTGTTGTTTTTGAAGGCAGACACTACTCTTCACCTTTTATCCCTAGGTCCTGACACATCATAGCTATTTAACAAGCATCCTATGAATGCACAACATTCATGCTAGAGAAAAATTTGACTCATGCTGAGTCAATTCTGAGTCAAGGGCCATGGGAGGTCCCTCCAACTTAGTCTTTTTCCAGAAACCACATTTCTGGATGCAAATTCATAGGACAACATGGAATATTTGGGCTATTTCAAAACCTTTCCATTTATGAAATAACTTATGCTTACTCATACTTCTAATGGACTCATTGACAGAAAAAAAATCAGATTTGCTATTCACAGGAGCAGCACTGCATCATTCAAAACAAGAACCTGTACCTTGACTCTCAGATCCACATCTGTCAGCACCATGAAGAAGTCATTGTAGGTCATCCCATACTCTTTCCTCAGCTCACTGATGAGATGCTGGTCTACCAAGTCTTCATCATCCACCACTCGAATAGGTTTCTCATTGTCTTGAAGCAAATAAAAAGTGAATAAATATGGGTGTACCAAGACAAATATCATTGGGAATTAAACGAGTAGAAGCTCTGGGCCTCCATCCTAATCTAATCACACCAGCCTTCACTAATTTGGTATGTTAGGCTCATATTGAGTTTGAACCAAAGTTCCAGGGCAAATTAACAAATATAGAAACAAACAAATGGATAAATGAGTCTTGAAAGCCACTTTTCTAAGATGATCAAGACTTCTCCTGTTCATGATGAATCAGAAGGAACAAAGTGAGAGTGGAAACTGCTGCGTCATGCCTGGAAGAAGACTGCTACCTCACCAGAGAGTGAGTCTCCACCCCAGCTCACCAGGGAAGCAGGCCCAGACACTTTTGTTAAGTTTTATTTCCATTAAACATAATTCTAGGTCTAAATCCAGTGTCTGTTCTTCCATTTTAGTACAGGATTAACTTTGTTACATCTATAGAGAGAAATAGAAAGTCTAGGTTCAAGTCTAGTCACAGGCTCAGTTTAGCTCCAAAAGAAGTCAAGCTATTCATAAGACAAATTTTGTAAGTGAATGTATTAATAATTTTAAGCAAAATGTGACAATTTATGGAAGTTTTTAATTATCATGTATTTTTTTCAATCATCAAACCCCCAAAATAAATCCTTATAATTCAGAATCATTTCTGAAGATATCACTGGGTTGATGGGAAGCATGAAAATAAAGACACCTATGGCCACATGGGGCAACTTGTATGTCTGAAAAGCATTTTGATTCCAAAGACAGGGCAGCTTTATTTACTTGTTCTCTCCCAAACAGGTCACAATGTTTATCTCAACCCTACCTAACCTTTTATCTGCAAAATAATCTCCTTTATTAAAAACAAGTATGAATAAGTTAAAGTTGGCAAATGTGTGATGATAGGAATATTAACAAAGAGT